ATCATTTTCCTAAGATCAAATTATTCCCTCTTTGCCAGGGTTAGGGTTAGGGTTAATCTGGTCTCCATCCCCACATTTGAACTGCAACAGAGCAGCCCTACCTCACCTATTGCAATTTTGTAAAACCCAAGCAATTATTATTTGACTATTGTTTCTAATGTTTGGAATCGATGAGGGTTAATGCTATGCCACAACTTTTAGGAAATTCTGAATTCTCAGACCTTGCTTAACCCAGATCATGTTCCATCTCTCAGTGCGGTTGAAGTCTGCTCTGTCTTGTGAAATTTAGGAATTTCTTTTGGGTCTTTTGCCTGCCCTGATCAGCCCAGAGGGGCCCTCCTTAACCGCCCATCTGTTAACCAACCCCTTTAAGGAGGAACAGGGACAAATAAAGGAACAAGGAACAAGCAGTGCCCCAAGTAGGTAGGAGAAGCTGCTGTGTGCCAACCCTTCCTATTCATGGGCCAATCTTACTGCACTGTTGACATCACTAAGAATGGTAGTGAAACGTGATCAGTATGCAAACCAGGTTCTCAGAGCCCCAAGGATCCACCAGGAGTTATCAAGGGTGGGGCCATGAGGGTTCCTCCTGGGTCCTCTGCTCTTCAATGAAGCTCTGAATCTTTGGATGGAGACGGGGAGGAAATGCAAATGGATTGCATGGGATGGAACAAAGAAATAAAATCCAAAATTTCTTCATTACAAGAAGCAACGGATGGAAACTAATCAAGGAGAAAAGCAGCCTAGAACTAAGGAGAAATTTCCTGGCAGTGAGGACAATTAACTAGTGGAACAACTTGCCTCCAGAAGTCGTGGGTTGTCCATTACCAGAGGCTTTTAAGGAAAGACTGAAAAACTGTTTGTCTGTAGTGGTATAGAGAGTCCTGCTTGAGCAAGGGGTTGGATTAGAAGACCTCCAAGGTCCCTTCCAACTCTGTTATTCTGTTATTCCTTTGCCTGGACATTCTGAATTCTTGCAACCCTTCATCATAAGAGAGGAATCGCTGAGCTTCCAGCAGTAACGTGTAGCCCTTTTCCTCTTTAATGGGGTTTCCAGGTTGTGCAAGTGGGACACCATGGCCATCTTCTCCACTCCAGAGACTTTCTGGATGCTGTTTCTGTGAAGGTTCAGATTCCTCCATAAAACCCCAAACTTCAAAGGACAATTTGAGCCAAGTGAGAGTTAAGGTGATTCCATGGGAAGAAGGCCTGAAGGGCCAAGAAGGGAATTCTTGAAATGGGAATTAAACATCATGGAGTCTCAGACAATTTTGTCCAGGACTTGGGGCACCACCTTTCCAGAAGGTTATCCGAAGGTTAGGAAAGGGTTGGAGAAGGACAACAAAGAGGATAGGATAGGATAGGATAGAATAATATAGGAATTATAGGATAGGATAGGACGGGATGGGGCGGGGCAGAATAGAAAGGAACAGAATAGAATAGGAATTAGGATAGGATAGGATAGGATGGAACAGAAGAGAGAATATAATATAATATAATATAATATAATATAATATAATATAATATAATATAATATAATATAATATAATATAATATAATATAATATAATATAATATAATATAATATAATATAATATAATAATACAATATAATACAATACAATACAATACAATACAATACAATATAATACAATACAATACGAGAGAGAAGACAGGACAGAATAGAATAGTTTATTTGGCCAACTGTGAATAGACACCCAAGGAATTTGTCTCTGGTGCAGTGTACATGCAAATCCACAGATTAGTAATGAATGATCATAATAACGGTACCAATACGAGGGAGGAATAAAGAAGATAAGAAGGATGATGATAATGCTACAGCCATACAACATGGATGAATATACTTAGACCTCAGGCAGCGCTGTGAGAATTTGGTGTTCAGCACAAGGGGAAAAAACTATCCCTGCATCTAATCGTTTGGCATCGAATGCCCTGTAGGGCCATTCCCCTGGGGAGGAGTTCAGGCAGTTCATGCCCAGGGTGTGTGGGGTCTGTAGATACTTCCTCAGCCCCACTTCTTGACCCATGGAATATACAGGTCCTCAGCGGACGGCAGGCTGGTTGCCACCGTTCTTTCTGCAGCCCCAAATATCGGTTGAAATCTGTACCTGCCTTGTGTGGTTGCTGTACCTGGCCAGACAGGAGAGATGATTCTGCTGTAGAACTGGATCAGTGGCTCTCTGGGCAGAGTCTGAGCTCCCTAAGTTGGTGGAGGAAGAGCATTCCTTCTTTTTTTTTTTCCTTTAATTTCTTTTGTTAATTTATCCATCTCAGCACATTCTAAAATTTTATCTATCAATTCTTCCTCTGAAAAATTTAAGAAATTAAAGAAAAAGAAGAGACAGATTATTATAGAATATGGAATAAATGGTATAAATGGCTTAAGGAGAGAAATAAAGAATAATAACCACCAGGGGGGAAAATTAGAACTATAAAATATATACATAAACAATTGTATGGAGCAGAATAAAAATGTAGAGAAACGGACAAAAACAAACAGTATAAATAAAGAAGAAAAATTTATATAATAAGAATATAGAATTGAATAAAATTATGGATATAATTAAAATATGTAGATAATAATTGTAGAGAAATGTATAAAGTTAAGCTTGTTAAAGCTAAAAAACATATTGTAATCAATGGTGGGGGGGGGAAGGACAATGGGGAAAAAGAAAGAAAGAAAGAAATGAAGACATATGGGAGGAAAGATAAAATACCAGAAAGAAGATCACAAAGAAACAATGTTTAAAAGAGATAAGATATGTATATGTTGTATGCAGTGGTGGGATTCAAGTAATTTAACAACCGTTTCTCTGCCCTAATGATTTCTTCCAACAACCAGTTCACCAAACTGCTCAGAAAGTTAACAACCGGTTCTCCCAAAGTGGTGCAAACTGGCTGAATCCCACCACTGGTTGTATATTATGTGAATGTCATATATATGTTATAATAAAATTACAATTTTTTTTAAAAAAAAATAGAATAATAACTTAGAATAACTTTATTGTCACTCTGAATGCACACTAATCGGCATCCATTAAAATGAAATTTCATTGCATACAGCTCTCAAAGGGTCACCACCTCCAATATACGCTACATAACCATGACAGAATAAATAAAGAAATAAATAAAAACAAAAGTATGCATATACCCATATATATTCTATGACACAGAGAAATAACACAGTCTACTTTGAATGTACTGTATACACGCACATGGCAAGAAAAATGAATCTTGAGAGTTTGCCAGACGGATGGCCAAGGGAACGAAGCTGTCACAGAATCTGAACGTCCTGCTAGAAATACTTTGAAACCTCCTCCCAGAGGGGGACAACAAAAATAGAGACCGTGAAGTGGGTGTGTGGGTCTTTAACAATGCTTTCATCTCTAAGCACATAGCACTTATAAGCAGTATCCTGAATAATAGGAAGCAAGCTTCCTATAATCTTCTCCGCTGTCCTCACCACTCTCTGTAGGGACTTTCTAAGGATGACTTTTGGAGAATAGAATGGCTTCTCCTAAAATCTACTCTCATCTCTACAGTTTTTAGCATGTTTAGCTCAGTGGTTCTCAACCTTCCTAATGCTGCGACCCTTTAATACAGTTCCTCATGTTGTGGTGACCCCCAACCATAAAATTATTCCTAAAATCATTGATAATACATGTTTTCCGATGGTCTTAGGCGACCCCTGTGAAAGGGTCATTCGACCCCCAAAGGGGTCATGACCCACAGGTTGAGAACCACTGCTCTAGATGGTCCCAGCTGCACCAGAGGGCCACTTGATCTACGTCTTGTCTGTATTTGGACTCATCAGCATCTTAAATGAGACCAATGACTGTTGTATCATCTGCAAACTTCGGTACTTTAACGGAGGGATCCTTTGAGAGGCAGTCATTGGTGTAGAGAGGGAAGAGTACAGCACACCTGTGTTTACCAAACAGGTATTTGATGTGATTTCACCGGCTGTTTCCTGTCTGTTAGAAAGCTTATGATCCACTTACAAGTGTGGTCGGGCACAGCTAGCTGAGTCAGCTGAGTGAGAAGAATCTCTGGAATGATGGTATCTCTGAATGCCAAGCAGAAGTCTACAGAAAGGACCCTTGCCTTGGAGATTCCAGATGTTGCAAGGTGTAGTTCAGTGCCCTATTGACCGCATCATCTGCCGATCTATTTGTGCGGTAGACAAACTGCAAGAGGTCTAACCGTGAATCTGTGATGACTTTCAGGTGGGCCAACACTAACCTCCCAAAGGTTTTCACAACTGTGGATGTCAGAGCAACCGGTCTGCGGTTATTCAGCTCCTTGGTGGAAGGTTTCTTGGGCACCGGGGTGATAATAGAGCGTTTGAAGCAAGAAGGGACCTAACACACCACCAGTGATAGGCTCTCCTGCTTTAGCAGGGGGTTGGACTAGAAGACCTCCAGGGTCCCTTCCAGCTCTATTCTGAAATCTATATTTATGAAAGATGCAGGCGAAGATGGGGGGCCAGCAGATCAGCACAGGCTTCTCAAGGAAGAAGGAGTTACTCCATCCGGGTCTGCTGCTTTTCCGATCTTTTGTCTATGAAATAAATCTTGCACATGGAGCCATCACAAAGTAGAAGAGTCTCCATTTCTATCCCAGACTTAACTCTGGAGGAAGCCCTTCATAGGGACTGAGTCTCTGGATATCGGTCAGGGATTTCAGCCTCCGAGAGGTGCTTCCCCTGGGCATTCTCTCTGGAAAGCCACATTGGGGAAGGATGCACTGCCTCTCAGCCCCTCTTCCTCTGACAAGTGGGGTGGGGGACACGGGTCAACGCAGGGAGGGGAAACCCCCAAAGGGGCCAAAGAAGACACCTGAGACCAAGAGGGCAGCTGGAACCAAAGCTTTATTGCAGAAGAGAAGGAATGAGCCCAGGGTGGGGTTTAGGGGGAGGGTCTCCAGGGTGGTGCAGGACAGAAGAAGGATCTTTGGGTCAAGTTGGAACACTCAATCCAATTCAGGAGAGTCTCCTCGTTGGGGGTGCTGTAAAAACAAACATTCAGATATGAGGTTTCTGTCCAGAACAGCCTCCAGTGCTTCTCCCTGCCTCATCTTACAACCAGGGAGACCCAAACCTGAAATTGGGAGGAATGTTCTGATGGGGAAAGAGCCAGAAAGCAATGGGTCTGCTTCCTCCTTGGAGTTATGGGGCTCCAACACTGGAGGTTTCAAGCAGAATACAGACTAACAAAATTGGAAGAAACCTCGGAGATCTGCTAGTCCAGTCTTGATGAACTCTTTTGGCATTGAGTGCCGAAATGGGAGCATGCACGCACGGCTGAAACTGGAAAAGCAGCCCCCGGTGCGGTTTCTGACACACACATGTGCACCAGCCACCTGGTCTTCCAGTTTCTTGTGCACATGCACGCATGAAGACCAGCTGGCCGGCACGCTGGAACCCAGAAGAGCAACGGGCAATGGCTCGCGTGCCCGGAGAGATGGCTCTATGTGCCACATGGTTCTAGTCCAATCTCCTGCTCAAGCACGAGGCCCTACACCAGTGATGGCTAGCCTTTTCCTGAGCGAGTGTCTAAAGCGTGTATGCATGCGTGTGAATGCACGTGTGTGCACCCAAACCATGATGCTTCATTAACCCATCCTATGCTTAATTTTAAGGGACAGAAGTTCTTTTCCAATAAAGAGGCCAGTCCGGAACGCCTTCCCTACTTACCAACACAGGTGAAGTGGCATTTATTTCTGGTCTCAAACCTGTTGGCATTTCCCCCACAGCCACCATAAATAAATTCATGGCATTTGTTTGAAGACGGGTTGTAGTAGAAGCGAAGCCTTCTGGCTCTACATGGTCCTTTCTCAGGACGAAGATAACAGAACTCTGTGGCAAATGGAAAAGGGGAGGGAGGGGGGATGTTAGTTGATTAGACAGAACAAAAGTCTTTAGGGCTCTTCCCCAACTTGGTGCCCTCTTAGCATGCTCAGATTGCAAGCAGTCGAGAGAAATCTGGGATCCTTTAAGTTGGTTTCCTGCCCTGGGGATTGGATCAGATGGATGACTGGATTGTTCCCGTTGCTTAAAATCCTGATTCAGCTGCTGCATTGAATTGAGATAGGTCGGCCCCCACCTAAAGTTGCATCTATCTTTCTTGGGGCCCCCTCCCATTTCTCTCTCCTACTCAGCTGACACCCAACCACCATCTCCAGAACCTCCCCAGAAGAAGCCCCACCAAGCCAGAGGTTCTACACTGGGGTCTTTGGGGGGGGGGGAACTCTGGTCACTTCAGCCCCTCCCTGCAAAGGGTCTCAAGATCTTTCTAAAAGCTCTACCTGGCCGGTTCTGGCCGGAGACGGGGGTCAGCTCTGCCCAGAGGGTGAGGAGTCCCAGCAGGAGAAGAAGACCTCCAGAAGACATGATGAAACCATCTGCCCCACCCTTGGGCTTCTGGCTCTATTTATTCTCCCATCTGGAAATTTCACATCCAGGAAGCAGTTGTAATGCAGAGACAATTTGAATTCGTTTCTCTTTCATAAGTTGATTGAACAAGAGGTGACAACATTCAGAGTCGCATTGAGTGGCCAGTTTGGGGAAAGCTAAACAGGTCCCTGTTGCTCTGTTCCAGTCCCTCCCTCACACACGAGGCCCTCCAAGACAGAAGTCTTATTCTCCAGGTTCCCACTCCCACCAAATGTGAAGTTCTCTTCAGTCTGGTACTCTTCGGTCTAGGTCCAGGGTCGCAAAGTCCAAGAATGAAGGCAAAAGTCCACAAATCCACACACACAAAGTCTGAAATCCAGGCACACTCCAAAGCCCATGCAGCATAACCAAATCAAGCTATGAGTCTTCCTCCTCCTCCTCCTCCTCTTTCTCCTCCCCCTCCTCCTCCCAAGGTTCCAACCGATGCCCTAATAAAAGCAGGAGCCCCAAGCCTTTTAGCAAGAAAAATCCAGTTGTTTATTAGGAACGCCATATCGGCACAGACCAAGCAAAGCCAACTCTGACTTCACCCAGTTCGCGCCTTGCCTCTGACCCTGTTGCCCCCTCGCCCCACGGTGTGTCATCAGTCACATTCCCCAATGACCGTTCCCCAATGAAGCAATTTTGTGGGTCATAGAAGTCACTCCCCTCTGCCATTGTGGGTCTCTGTGGAGATGGCCTTGCCTTCGGGTGGCTAGGATGTGTTTTGTTTTGACTGTGGTGTGAATTCCTCTGTACAGCTGGGAGGTACGATTTCCCATCCCCCTGCCTATGGCAACTCGGGAGCAGGTCAGGAAAGCTTTGCAAGTTGACAACCTCCTCCCTTCTAGCACTGATGTTGTTCCCCAGATGGGTAATGAAACATCTGCAAGAAAACAACCAAGCTCAGAGAACAAGAAAACGGAATGGCAGAAAAAATGATTAGATATACAAGGACGTGTAGAATGTGTATGTTTTATGCATGTGTTATTATAGTTGTCAGATGTAAATGCCTTATTCCCTAATGTGTAAATAATGTATATATGGGATATCAGGGGTTAACTTATTCTTTGACTCTTAATGTATTCATAATTCACCACTCCCACTCTTGGCTCCACCCTTTGTATATATAAGGAGCCACCTTCACCATTTTCTTTGCTTCTATCTGTGAATATTCAGTGAATATAGAATGCCTATTATAATTAAAGAGAAATATATTTAAACCTCTAACTCTTATTACTATTATTGAGTCTGATCCTGAAAATATTGCAACAAGCTGGTAGCAGAGGATGGTTAATTGACTCAATAAATACCTAAAAATGTCTAAGAAAGATAGGCCCAACACCAGGGCCTACAGCAAAGAAATAACCAACGAATCCACAAACGCGATTTCGAGAGAATCCGAAGAATACACCACTGAAGAAGAAGAATTAATAAATGAAAATGATGGCCAGGAGGAAATCGAAATAGAAAATAACGAACTCAGGTCAGAGATATTGAAGTTATTAAAAAGCCAGAAGAATGATGAAAGCCTCATCGCGAACCTCCAAAAGATGCTGAAGAACAGCGGAGCAGCGAGAGAGAAAAACATCGCTAAAGAGAAACCCAAAGACCAAAAAACTGTGAGTGATATGACTACAGAGAAAGTCGTTATGAAAAAGAAAAAATGTGATCCCGCGCGAAATTTTGAATGGCAGCCATCTTGGTTTCAACAAGCCTCCAAAGTGAACGAAGCAGAGCCAATCAAAATGCTCAGTTCAAAATTTCTGGCGCGAAAAACGTTATCAGACAACGAAAGTGAAAAGGAGGATTCAAACTCTTCGGAAGAGCCAGAATCAGAAAGTGAAGACGACTTAACGAAATCCCAAGTAAAGTCAGCAATGAAGACGCTTTTTGCTGCATTTGGGCCAAAATTAAAAATTTCCAAAGCGCCAACGAAGAAGCAAGCGAACAAGCCGATACTTCAAGACCTGCACGCTCCCATCCTGACTTCGAGAGCGACGACGCCCGAGCCCAGAGAGCCATGTCGATTCCGCCCTACACCGCAGACCGAAGCAAGTGCCAACGCACCCAAAAGAAAGAGAAGAACAGTCGCCGCCATCAGAACTCCTAAGACCGAGCCAGAGACCGACTCGTCTGAAGAGGAGCGGAGCGAGCGAGCTACAATGGAGAGAACCTTCCACGACGACGCCAAAGAAGAAATGAACAACGCGCATGTGCGAAACTACGTAGACGGTCCGGAAAGACTTGAACTGGCCAGAGAACCGCGCAGACTCGTTGCGAGCATCCCCATGCCGTTTTGCAATTTCCTACACTTGCGAGACCACGGACTACCTCAGGTTGTAAGTAATGGACAAAATAATGTGGGAAACTTACCCAGTGACTTCCCAAAACTTAGGGTTGATGGCATTAATTTGCAAGAATGGTATCAACAGCTCCAGGTTGTCTTTATGAAAGAAAATTTACTATTTTTTATCACTAGTCCCCCAAGAAGACCTTGGACTTTAAAAATAGATTGTTTACACCATAAGGCATTTTTCTTAATAATATCTAGCGTGTCTCCTGCAATGTATCATAGCATCAAACCAAATCTAACTGTTTCAGAAATAATTCAATGCATGTTTAATTTGTTTCACAGCGATAGTGTAGCTACCACCACAAGAATGTCTAAGGACTTCTTTTCTTCCAGAGTAAAACCAGGGGTTTCCATAAGTGAGCATTTAATATCTTTAAACAAAATAAGAGCTGAGCTGCATTTGAGGGGGAAGTGATTTCAGATCAAACAATGAAAAGTGTTATTATCAACTCACTTGATTCATCATGGGATAGTTTTATGTCACACTTAGACACCATCAATCTAGGATATTTATCAATAGAAAGTCTGTCTAACAAATTGATAGCAGAAGACAATTCAAGAAAAAATCGTTATAGCAATCACACAGAACACAAATCTTTTAAGAAGGTAGCTTTCCAAGAAAAATATAATGAAACTTTTAAATGCCACAATTGTGGGTCCAGGGAACACAATAGAAGAGATTGTCCCAAAATTTCAAAGGAAAGACATAGGTCAGAATATAGGAATGAATACAATTATAGACAGTCTTCCACAGATAGACATAAATATAGAAGCCCACCAAATTACAGAGAAAGTAGAGGGGGCAGAGAAAATTCAAAAGAGAGAAAATCTGGTTCACTAAATGGACTAAATAAACAAGACAGCACTAAAACGCAACAAAATGAGAACAATAATTGGCTTATTGATTCTGGGGCAACTAATCACACCACTAATAACAAAAATATATTGTCTTCATTTACAGAAGATAAGTTTGTAATAAAGGTAGCTAATCAAGAAAAAGTTCAAGTATTAGGCAGAGGGAATGTGACCTTGCCTGGTCTAGGAAAAATAGAGGGGGTATTGTTAATACCAGAAATACCTCATAACATACTAAGTGCCATAAAACTAAGCAGAGATTCTGACATCAATATAGTTTTCTCAAAGGGAAAAGCAACTTTAGAGAAGAATAAAACAAATGTAGGCACTGTGATGATTAAAGGAGGCCTACCCTATCTGATAACAAAAGAAAGATGGTTACATAACATTGATTCAAATATGGAAGATTGTATTGAGGCAGATGATGAAAATATTAGTAACAGTGACAATGATGAATGTAAAATATCTCATGATCACACAGATACACACAATGAGAAGAAACCAAAAATAGGTAAACCAATTCATGACGAGTGTGCTCACATCTTACATAGGAAGTTAGGACATGCAAGTTTTCCTGTAGTACAAAAAATGACTGAACACGCAGAAGGTGTCAAAATAAAAAATTGTGAAAATTATTTGGAATGCTCAGTATGTAAATCTACTAAACTAAAAACTAGTCCCAGGCCAAAAAAATCCACCAGATCAACTAACAAAATTTTTGACTTAGTACACATGGACTTAGTTGGCCCATTAACTCCATCAATCACTTATAGAAAACGTTACTTCCTAACAATAGTAGACGATTACAGTCGCTATGGTTTTGTTTACACATTAAAACACAAGGATGAAACCTTTCAAAAATTTAAGGAATTTTACAAACGCATAGAAACACAACATAATATCAGAATAAAACAAATTATGACAGATAGGGGATGTGAATTCATGTCTAAAGAATTCTTCCAATGGTTAAAGGATAGAGGAATGCTACATTACACGTCTAGTCCATTTTCTGCGTTCCAGAACGGGATTGCAGAGAGAAAGAATTCCACATTACAAACCATGATTAGGTGCACATTAGAGGATGCTGGTTTAGGCAAACAATTTTGGTCAGAAGCCTTACATTATTCAAATTACACTCAAAATAGAACCTGGTCCAGTATTGTGAATAAGACACCATATGAGGTGATGTATAATAGGAAACCAAAATTAGCACACATGCACATATTTGGGGTCACTGCAGACATACACATACCTAAACAGTTGAGAAGAAAGGGAGAAAACGTATCCAGAAGACTAAGATTTATGGGATATGAAACTGGCACCAAAGGGTACAGATTCATTGATAATAATAACAAATTTATAGTTTCCAGAACAGCTGTGTTCCATGAACAGGCCAACTGGTCTAAATTACATCTTAATGAAATATTTCCAAATAAATGCAAAGATACAAAATCTCGTGAGGAAGGGACAATAGAAAATCAAAATATCAACAAAAATAAAAACAAAACCAAAACATGGACAAATAGTCAACACAAAATAAAGACAGACACATTAACAAAAAAGGAAGCAAGATATTTGCATGACTACCATAGCAAACCTGAAAGAGCTATTAGGAACAACAGAAATCAAATACCAAATAAATACAGAGATTACATAATGCATATGGATGGTGAACAAATAACACCTAATACATATGAGGAAGTATTAAAACTCCCTCGTGAAGAAAAGGAAAAATGGGAACTAGCTA